AAGAGCAGGCACCACAAAGCCCTGTCCCCCGCAGGCACCAAAGCTCTGTCACATGCAGGCACATCAAAGCCCTGCTCCGCGTAGGCACCAAAGCGCTATAAAGAGCAGGCACCACAAAGCCCTGTCCCGCACAGGTACAAAAGCCATTGTGTCAATTACAAATGTGATTTGGGATATATATTTAGAAGTTAGTATTTTTTTAAAATAATTTACATATAAGTTAGTACTTATAATTATATTTTCATTACGTAGTAATGTGTAAATTCTTTTTTAATAGTAGGGCATTTACAAAATTTTCCGAATTTTTTAACTAAACTATATTGAATGGCCCAATTAGGTTCAACTTCCACTCTAATTGCAGTGGATTCGGGGAAAATGCCCACGAGCTCTAGCCTAAACATCATTAATGAATACAATCTCCTCCCTCAAACTTTAATAAGGTTTGGAAATATCAATGGGTCGGGCTATCGTTGTTGGATCTGGGCAACCCAATCCTTTAATTGGTTGGGCCTGCCCGGAAAACCTACAATTTATTGATCGACAGTTTGTTAAACATTCGCCCCAATTAGTAAAACGAATAATCAAATCGTTGATGTTTAGCTCCTCCCTCTCTCTCTATCCTGAGATCGGCAAGGTGCAAATCTGCAATCGAGAATGAATTATGGACCGCTCATCAACCTCGAAATCTCTCTTTTGAAATGACTGAATCAAGGTACAGAAATTTTATGTGATGCATTTTTGTATGTATACATATCGATTTGCTTCTTGTAGATCTCGTCCTTGTGTTATTTATTTATTTATTTATTTATTTTCATCTGTCTTCTTCATGTAATTATTCTTCGTCTCTGCTTCAGAGCATACAAATTCAAGTATTTTTGTATTTATATTTATTTTTAATTTTTTTCACTGCAAAACCGATCGCATAGCGGAGTGGATATCGCGTTAGACTCCGGATCTAAAGGTCGTGGGTTCGAATCCCACTGCGATCGTATCCTTTTTGCCTTTCCTTTTTTTCTTTTTGACCGTTATCTAAATTTTCTACCCCAATTTTAGTGGTACAAGTTTTTGAAGTGACAAATTAATTGAATTTTTCATCAGTTTGTTTGTACGTAGATGCAATTCTTAGTATAGTTATAATTCTAACACATTAAACACATTTGTTCAGGAATTTTATCCTATATTTGAACACTCAGATAACTTGTTGGATTGCTATTCAATACTTTCGGAAAAAATTGAAGTTTTTCTCAACTTGATTATTTTATAATTCCAAAACAAAGTAAAAATGGCCGCTTCTTATAGCTTGTTGACATTTGGAATAGTACTCTTGCTGCATAGTTTGATGCAACGGGTTTAGAGAATGTTCTGCATGAATTCTTTGGAGGTCGTGAAAATGTTGATTAAAAGGTTCTGTAATATGATTATATAGAAATTCGATTCTTGATTTTTATATAGTTTAAAATATTCAGACAATGTTGTCCATATGGTTCTTGATCGTTGCATGGTTTAGTGGAATATATTTAGATATTGTTGTCCATAAAAATCTTGGGAGGTCTGGAAGTGTTCGAAAAAAGATGGTAATAACACGAGAATCTCAATTTACAATTTTCGATCTAAAATTGTTAATGAGTGCTATAATATTGTCAGAATGCAAGTGTTCTGCTAGTTGCTTGAACTTCTTAAGCAAACACACCATGGAAGTTCCTTTTTGCTCATGGCATAATTTTTGGCTATATTGACAACGTTTGAACAGAACCTTATGCAAAAACAAGCTAGATAAACCTCCTACCCAGATTCAGTGATGGCTTTGAAAATGTTAAATCAACTATTGTGTTTAAGGCTCGTTTGGCATGACTTTTGATTTTGCTTCTTATAGATGAACTTTTGAATAAAGCTACTTTAGTTTTGGTTTGAAATTTAATTTTTAAATGAGTTTCCTATTCTCGAAGGGCTTTTAGAGAAAGACGCGGACTAACTTTTTCTAAAAGATCTTTTAACTAGAAGAAGCACTTACATAAAATAGCCAAACGAGTCCAAAAACTAGTTTTGAATCTTAAAAGCTCTTTTTGACTTTTTTAAAAATCATGTCAATGTCATAGGAACGTCAATTTTTTTCAATCGTAAATAAAAAAGTGATTTTTATGATGGTATATGGGCCGATGAAAGGGTTTAAAATGATTGTTATTGAACCTTTCTTCTGAATAGTTGGATAGCTAAATTCCATTAATAGTTTGATTGCTTCTTGTTAATCTATCGCGTCATGGTTAGTTATTTATACAATCAAATCATCATTGTGATGGCACTTAAATTTCAAAATCTATGTATTGAAGATAAGAAAATGGGAGGAGCAAGCAACAGAGCAGCATCCTCGTATATGTTTGTCTCGTTAGCCATTAATCTCTCGTCCTCATTTGGTTTAGATGCATTGCTATTCTGTACATAATTCGCTTATGTTGAGGCAACGGATTGCACGATGCATGATCACAACAAACTAAGCTTGTCAACTAAATTTGAAAGCAGTTACATATATATTTTCACTTTCTTTACAATTCAATGAATTCATGTTTATGCACAATGTCATGCTCAATGCCTTCTCTCAAGACATTGCGCGACTTAAAAAGGTTGATTATTTCAGATTCAGCTCTATTCCAGTTGCTTCACTATTTCTACTTTCGGCACACCCTACAATCGATAATACTTGGTGAGATATTCAAAATTGTGTAAAATTCAGAACAATTTCACATTAGATTATTTGCTGACCTTAATGTCAGTCAGGCAAAACCATAGCACATTCACTCAATTGAAGTGAAACATTGTGTATATTGAAATGCTAGCTCAAAAGGAAAAACAATTGACCGCAGGAACTACAAAATTGATCCTGTCAAGAGATTGGACACTTGGATACTACATAAGAACTGGGGTATGCAAGGATAATATGTTTAAGTTGTGCTCTAGATCTCTTCCTTTCTCTATGGAAGCTTTCCTTTTCGAGTGATTTCTGAAGTGCATCTTGGTAATCGGTTCACATTGATGATTTATTTGCAGTGCAAATCTCATTCTCCAACTTCTGCCAGTCGCAAGTGGAAAGCTGATGGAACTTGGACTCGATCTCTCAGGAGGCAGCTGATGAGACTGGAATGATGGAATAGTCGACGAAGCTGCCTGCTGTTGAAGTTTCCCCTCCTTCCACCTTAAATATGACTGCTGTAACTTCCATGGAACCTGTCTTCAAAGGACAAAATTATTAATTTGAACTTTAACGTTGCATGATATTAGTCAGGAGCGATATCCAAATTTAGTAATGTGGGGATGTACAACATAGTGATTATGTTGATTAGAATTTGACGTGGCTGAATTTAGAGAGAGAGTGGAGTGGCCTTACTAACTGATCTAACAATTTCTCCAGAAAAATATTGCCCTCTCACCCCCACCCCAAGAAGGAAACGCTATAGCATGAACATAGTAAAGGGACAACTAAATTCAACGATATTTCAGACTTACCGTTGAGAGAAGCCCAGAAGTAGCAAATGCTAAGGAGGATGCTGCAAATGTCGACTTTCCAGATTTATTTCCCGTCTGATCATTGTTTACCGATTTTTGATCTTCAATTGATCCAAAACTTGAAGGGGCATCATCTTCTTCCTCTTCCTCATCTTCATCCTCATCCTCTTCAGCTTCAGGGTAAGTTTTCTCTAATGGGCTTACTTCTTCAGATACAATATCATCCTCATCAAGCCCATGTTCCACTTTCTTTTCAGCTTCTTTCTGCATTCTCTTCAATTCCTCATCCAAGTCTTCCATGGCCTCCTTCAGAGACAATTCAGCTTCCACCAATTCAAGTTCCTTCTTCAATAGCTCCATCTTTGTCTCACTGTCTTTCTTCTTTTCTTCAGTCCATTTCTCCAATTTGTCCAACATTGGTCTACAGGCATTTTCTACAGATGTTACAAGAGACTCCCACCAGTTGCCTTTCTTGACACTTGCTTCTCGTCCATAGAACTCATCAAACCCAAGGGGTAGGAACTCAGCCTTGTCTGGGTCGATATCTTCCCCTTCCTTTAGAGGAGGTTGCCAAAATAAGCGGATACCATGTTCTTCATCATCCACATAGTTGATAATTCTTCCTGTTGGAGTGTGTACGATGAGGGGATCCTCCGTGTATTTGAGTTTTGATGGATCTTCAGGATCAGGTTCTGGTTCTTTATTAATGAGAATAAATTCTGGTTTTTCATCTGATCAAACAAACACAAATTAGCATAACCCAAATTTATGTAAACTGAAGGCAGGTAACTATTTAAAAGTTTCTGTAAACCCGTGATGGAGTTGGAATAGAAACCAAGACCACAAATAATAAATAAACTGAGAGTTGAGAAAAATTAATATTTAGTACCTTTAGACCACCAGTATTCAAGCTCGGCAGGCATAGGTAGCCGTAATGGAGCTCTATAGAATGAGTTCAGCCACATCTCTCTCTCTTGATCCACCTCATGGACATACATTTTCCAATAATCCGGAACCTGCAATCATAAACATGTCATTCATCAACATTCCTGAATAGACCAGTAACCACGTAATCCTCAATTGATCATTGTTTGATTTACTTCATAAAATTGATTGATAAAGCCTGGTGCCATCCATACTTCATCTTCCTCGTAGAAGTAGGGATGTTGAGGATCGGAATATGGACCCCTCTCTTCTCTGACCACTGCATGGATAAAACATAGCTTAAGAAGTGATGAAAATAGAAGTCATATATCCCAAAATGGTATACATTTGACAAAATTTTGTACCAACAAAAAAGTGAACAAGGTCACCTGTCTAAAAATGTATGTACAAATACGTCTCTCTCTCTCTCTCTCTCTCTCTCAAGTTAAAAGCATACCTTACTGCTGACGTATTGAACTGCTCAATTCTAAGTTAGATTCCAGCTTAGAATATAACAAGAAGCGCACCACTAAAAGAGAGAATTTGCCCATATAGTTCTCAGAAGTACTTGCCTCACAAGCTAACATGGTGATGAGACAAGCCACTATATTTACTAAAGTACAACGGATAAGACAAACTGGTATATTGGATCAAAATCTTCTTATTTTGTTAAGCACTCTTGCACAGCTACGTAGTAAGTAACATTTAATATAACTGCAAGCACAAGTAGTCTTTGGACTTGTGCAAGTTCAAATTCCCTTTGATCATAATTCAATCACATCTACAGATAATAAAGAATTCACATAGAATGAACCAACTACCAAATGATCTCACAAAAACTGTCTTTTAGATTCCACCATAATAACAGGCAATTATGCTCTCTCTCTCTCTCTCTCTCCCCACACAGATGCTGTTGCTGCTGCAGAGGCCATCACCATCCATCCTGCATCTTTCTAACTACAACACAAAGAACCCACATACGCTAAAGGCCACAAACTCCAACAATTGCAGCATGAGAGAAGGAAAAGCAAGATGACATTCATCACGATTTTGTAATATGTACTGGACACTGACTTCTTTACCTATTTCTATTTCTTTCTATTTCTCCAAGGGCAAACACATAATATAAATGAGTGCCCAAACAAGCCCTGAAGCATGTCAAATCTCACAATCTAAGTTAGCCTGCTTAGTCAAATTTTAAATTCAACATTCACCCCAAGCATTTGGAAGAGGTTTATTGGCAGTCTTTCATTTTCTACTCTAAAGCTCTTTAACCAGCATGGCAGTTCTCAAACATTATACCCCAGGCCAGGTGAAAATTTACACAAAATCCAATTCATATATTATTTAGAGTGTCATCGGTAACAGCTATTGGAGAAAAATATTCGTCCTAATCAACTTGGAGTCGAAGATTCTGTGACAAAAGGGAACCAAGGCATTAGCTAATGATGTGAGCTTGAACCAGCACAGCAGTTCTCCAACATTATACCCCAGGCCAGATGAAAATTTACAAAACATCTAATTCATTTATTATTTTAGCGTGTCATAGCTAACAGCCATTGGAGTAAAATATTCATCCTAATCAACTGAGTTGAAGACTGAAAAAGGCGAATCAAGACATTAGCTAATGATGTGAGCTTTAAACAGCATGACAGTTCTCCAACATCAATACCCCAGGCCACGCAAAAAATTATATAACCACTAATCATTTATTATTTTAGCGTGTCATAGCTAACAACCGTTGGAATAAAATATTCATCCTAATCCACTCAGTTGAGGACTCTGTGACGAAAGGGAATCAAGGCATTAGCTAATGATGTGATCTTTAACCAGCATGACAGTTCTCCAACATCAATACCCCAGGCCAGGGAAATTTAGGAAACATGCAATTCGTTTATTATTTTAGTGTGTCCTAGCTAACAGCCATTGGAGTAAAAAAAAAATCATCCTAATCAACTCAGGGGATGACTCTGTGACCGAAGGGATTCGGTATTCTGATATATTTTAATTTTCATATCATCCCAATTTTACTTTTGCATATTCCATCTATTAGGACATTTTTGTAGCTAGGAATTAGACTCATCTAAATCTAAGGCCTTGATAAGCAAGAAGGCAAACCGGAACTTTGTTAGTTAAATGAATTTGATTAGAAATTAAATTTCACGAGTTCAATAGGTTAAAAGTTTGCTTCAATCATTACTTCTCCAACAACATAAGCTTCTTACTAGCTAATTTGTGTCCTGCTGAAGAAGAAACTTATGAGTGAGAAAAAGAAAAGAGAGTGCAACATACTTCCATCAGGTTTATTGACAAACATTCGAGCCTTAGCTGCAGCTACCTCTGCTATGCCTGCATGCATCTGAGATAACATACTATTAGTTTTTCTCACCACCATCTGGTAGAAAGCTGAGAGAGAGAAGAGAACGGAGAGAACATTCTAAAATTACCGCGGAAATATCTGCATTGCAACCATATGGATGCTCCAATAGCTCTCCAAAATAGAAACGTCCCTGAAAAGTACAGAAGCTAGTTTGTGATGCATTGTCCAAACATATACGAAGCTATATCCATTTTTATTGAATTAAAAAATTATAAATAGGAGAAAGAATTACAAAAATAGAGGACAAGGTGCCCTCAAGTGCATAAAAAGAATTTGGAAAAAGTGATTGTCGGAGAAATAAATCCATCCAACTTGCTGCACATTTGACAATCCAAGTGCACTATTGTTAAACGAAATAATTACTAGTCAGGAGGAAACAACTTTGGCCTCTTTCATATTCTTACATATGTTGTACGCTCGTTGACCTCATAGACACCACATCCATGCATTCTCCCATGCTTCCATTGACCGGCATATCGATATCGGCCTTTCTCCCTGGCAACCATATTACCATAAAAAATGTCAAAAGATAATTTCAATCTCCAGAAGCAGCAATCGAACAATGGAAGTGAAGTTTATGCATCCCTCAGATTAGACAAATTTATAGCTTTTATTAATGGATTCAAAAGGACGAGCATTATCATTCAAATTTGGAATATATTCTTTTGGTAGACTCCAAATTCATTCTCAGCGTTCATAAGGAATACAAAGATATTAATATTACACGCATCTACATAAACCTTCCAAGAACCTAGCTATTAAACATAAGTGCTTGATTAGGAGAAATTATAATCACATTATAATTTAAATGGTCAAAGTTAAACACAACTACTATCTACCTATTATCCACATAGTTTTCGAGACCTGCTACTTTTTATTATGATCCCATTATAATTTCTCCCAAACAAGAATGTGTCAAAAAGTGAGAAAGTATTTTGTTATCATTTTCCTTTAGACATATAAGAAACTTAGATGTGCAATAAAACATTTTCTTAAAGCTATATCATGCTTAATGGACTTCTGTATCTCATGGAAATCAGCTGCAGCCAATTCTATCACCAATAAAGCACATGGAACAAGCATTAAAGAATGACCACCAGGGCAATATAAAAATGTGCTGCCATGTTTAATTAAAGCATTCAAATTGGATGTCTCAATGGTCAATCAACACTGAAGGATAACAGCACTGCAATGACAGATTCGATGATTGAGCAATAACAAGATGCAAGTTCGCAAAATATGTAAACCAGACAAGATATGGGCAGAGCTATAGGGACGGTGAAAGAGGGAGAAGTTAGTACAATCATCAATTCTTGAATTGAACATGAAACTTACGGTTTCTTTCCAAACTGTCTAATCCATTCTTCCTTCTCATAAAAAGGAATTTCATAATTTCCATTGGCTAAGAGCAGACTATCTTCGATATCCATCTCTAGCCATTCTCTATCTTCAGGGGACATAAAGTCTCTTGAGATTATTTGCCCATCAGCTCGCATCTTTGCTTCAAGCCTGGGAAAGAGGACAAAAATTATCCAAATGGTATTATAAAACTCATACTGTTCCAACTGCAGGTTAATTATACAAGGAATTAATGTAGCAGACATAGACATACTTGGAACCAGGCACAGGTTCTATGTTGGGAATTTCCACTTCAACAACCCCATGACCTTCCATGTTATTTTGAAGCCATTCTCCTTCATACCTACAAGCCACAAAGAATTCTTAATAACGTTTTGCAGCATATGGCGACATTTGATATGAATTAGAAGAGTCTTCATGAGCGGACAACAAAAACTGCACATTCTTGCACATTTGAAGTTGTAATCACATAAAAAAAGTATTGTGGGAACTATGTAAACAAACCTGACCAGCCCTTGCTCAGCGACATAAACACCTTTACCATGAGCCAAGTCATCCCAAACAGTGCCTTCATACCTTTGAAAAAATAAAAATCCATCAGTGCTCGAGATATAGTATGGAAGAAGACTGTAGTATAGAGAACAATTGATCAAAATCCTCACGCCTCCCAAATAAATCCGTGCTTAACCTCAAGTAATGGAATTCACTAAAAGAGCATGAACCAAGTAAAATTTTAAGTGCCAGGAACTTTTAGCTAATATTTTAACAAGAACCATCATTATTCCAGGGAATTCCAGGGAAATTAATTTTTGCATTGGGTGATATTAACATTGGAAGCAAGGCAGCAGAGTTAAAAAAAAACCAAAAAAAAAAAAAATGAAGAAGGAAAGGGAATAGAACTTCAAATTCAAGTAACTTTCAAGATACCCACGGTAATCTCGCACCAGTCACTAGAATGTTACTACAGAATCAACAGCATATCAAGGAAACTGCAACAGATAGGATTCATAACAAACCAGCCATTTTAAATAAACAAAACACCAAATAATATGGACTAAGAACGTAATAATATAAACTCTGAAAATGATTAAATCGTACCTTAAAAGTAGAACCAATTACCAAACTATCAATAAAAAGTAAAAGATTACACGTTTTAACACATATTATTATAAAAGAAACAAGATTTCAATCTTCAATCGGGATAATGGTTCAGTCTCTGAATTATGATGCAGCAGAAACATCGCAGTGAATGCTTTAATCTTTAGATCTTGCTTTCTCAATCTTCCATACAACAGATATAACATCATTATCATACTCATCAAACTGCATTCTAAAATTCACCAAACTGACAATAGAAACCAAATGGCATACTAACCAATCCTTCCTCTAATCAAAATACAGATAGCATCAAGGCTGCAATTGGTCAATCATAAAATGCTGTGCGCCACAAGCCTTTTTCGTTAAGGTTCCATTTGGTTATTATGTGAACAAACAAGTGTTTCTTTCATCTCTGGTGTTTGACGAATAGTAGTGGTCCTGGTCCAAGGAAATGGAGGCTACTTTTTACTACTATAGAAAGCAAAGATGCCATTAGCATACACGGGATGGAAGAGGCAGCATTTACCCTTAACGTGTTTTCCGTAATCCCAGCTTTGATAACATGCCAAAAAATGTTCTATATTGAACAAACAAAGCCTAAGCAAATTGAACTTATCAACACTGAGATAATCTCTAAAACTAAGGCTGCAAAATGAAAGGTTTTAGAAATGAATATTAAAGCAGAAAAACCCAGAATATTCTGTTTTTTAGTCTTTATGGAATCAAAACTTAGTTCAACTGCGAAACGAAAAAGCCAGCATAAAATGCACCATAATAAACCATCTAACAGATAAGAACAAAAATTTCAAACTTCTCCAATATAAATTTCCAACTAAAGTACTTACGAGCTACCATCTGCGAAAATGTAGCTAACCCATTTCAAGAACTCCTCAATCCTATCCAGCTCCTCAATCACCGCCTTGGGGTTGGAAATATCATAATGATTATCCGGAATCACTGGAAAACACTTCCGGTACGGTACATAAAATGGGGCAATGGGCGGGTCACGTCCAGCCTTAATCTCTTCACTGATAATATCCACCTCCTCTTCGTCAACCCAATTCGGGTCCCACCCAGGTTTGGTCATCGCAATTGGAGCATCTCCCCAGAGCTCCTTCAAGTCCTCCTCCCTCCAGTTCTCCGGGTCCTTCGGGAAATTAAATAGGTCCTCGTGATAGACGTAGTCTTCTTCTTCCGCTTCCCGTTCTTTACGAAGGCGCTTGGAGTTGAGCACCTTGGTGAAGCGGCGGATGTTGGACTCGGCCGTGTTTTCGGAATCCGAGTCGTCGGGTCCCGTTTCTTGGGCGGTGCCTCCGGGCCGGGTGTAAGATAGTGGTTCGTCGTCAGAGTCGGAGTCCGAGTCGGAAGAGGAGGATTCCAAAGGGGTTGACTCGGACTCGGATTCGGATTCATCTTCTGGTTTATTGAGTTCCAATTGGGTCTCTTCCTCGTTCGACATTGCTGGTTTTCACAGCTTCGTGAGCAAGAGCAGAGTGAAAGATTGGAGATAAGGTGGGAAGGTAAGCGCATACGGAGTGTGGGCTTTATTAATTTCCAATATTCTGTCAGATACTTGGATCCGAATTGTAAAGCACTAAAGCCCGTTTGCTACCTCTTATTTTTAATAAAAACAATTCTCAATAAAATAATTTTATAATTTTATTTTTATTTTTAATGACACATTCTTAAAAAAAAATAAAAAAATTTATTATTATTTTTTAGCTCAAACAAACAAGTTGGTTATGTGAAACACTGACTTTTTTTCCAGGTTTTCTTATATATTTTTTTCCCAAAAAGATTGAGAAATGAGTTATTTGTTGAATCAATTTTTTATTTGTTAAGAATAACAACGAAAAGAAAATCTTAAAGACAAAAAGCGCTGCCAACCCAGCTGTTTTGTATTTTCGCCTGTTTTTAGAGTTGTCTTTTTTTAACTTATCTATACATTAATCGACTTGAAATATTACCTTGAATTCTTGTCTTTGGACGAACTTTATAGCTCTGTATTTAAATGAAATGATTATCTCGAATAATGCAACACTTCTACATAATGAAATGCTAATTCAAAATCCGATGAGCAGTAGAATCTAAAAACTAACACGAGGCAAAGAAAAATCAGAATTAAAGGAGAAAGTCTATCGTGAAAGCTTAACTTACAAAATTTCCTATTTAGGAATCTAAGGCATTATGCCTCTAACTCACGGTCTTACATTAAACCCCTATTTTGTATAGATAAAATTTGAGTATTTTCTAGATTTTGGTAAGGGAAGGAAAACGCTTATTTGTCATGACTTTTGCTTACTGGGAAAGCTACCTTAACATTTATTTGAAAATTAATTTTTAGAAGAGTTTGATATTTCTAAAGTGCTTTTTAGACGAAATCACATTAGTTCAATTTCCTCTAGAACTCTTCTAACAAGAAAAAATATTTTCATAAAATTAGTTAAACAGATCCAAAAATAATTTTAGAATTTGAAAAGGTCCTTTTAACTTCTCAAAAACATGCAAAGGGGCCATATATCCCAATGAGAGTCTTTTTTATTTTTCTTTTCTTTTATTATTTGTAGCAAAAATCACTTTTAAGCATTTTAAAATCAGAAAGGACTGAAAATCGAAAAAAAATAGCACCATTATAACATAAGAGTCACCGAGTTCTAACAAAATTCTATTTTCCATTTACGGAATTTTTGAAAAGTCATAATTTACTTTTGAAATTAACATAGATGTTATCAATTGAAACTTTAATGAATTTTAAAAAAATTTCTAAATTCAAATGCCTCCAATTGGGATTTTAATGAATTTTATTAACTTTCATGAAAACTAGATGTCCTCAATTTATATTTCAATATATTTCAACCTTTAAAAAACATTTAACAAAATCTTTTGACAAATTTTAATGAGATTTTATAGATTTTGTAAAAATCTATTCAAATTCATGAAATCATTAAATTTTATAATATTTTAAATCTTAGCTAAAACATGTCTAACAGTTGGATTATAGATGGATAAAAGTTAATTATGAATAGATGAATATTACTTGTGAAACCCACAATATATATAGATAAAAAATTATTTGATTGATTATAAATCATTAATAAACATTACCCAAACGTGATCCAAATAACTATTTTAGGGCGGTATTGTGCATATAGCACCGTTTACAGCCCTCTCACAGCTCGAGAGCTCATTGCAATTAAAAATTTGCGAACCCCCCACTTATGAGGGGGCTGTAGCTCGGGCTGTACAAACAACAATTCCCACTATTTTAACATGTTGAATAATTTTTTGAAAGTTCCAACTCGAAGTATCTTCTGTCTTTTACGAAAAAACAAAAACAAAAGCAAAAACCCTAGTTGTCGGGCCCTAAATATTTTACAACTAGCAGTTTGATATCAATTCAAGTATTTGACTTTTAAGATAACAACTACTTTTACAGATTTGTTAGTCAAACAGGAGAGTTTGAGCTATACTACCTCTCCACTACTATAAACTAGTCTGTTTAAACCTTAAACTGGATTAACGTTGTCCATGGCCGTCGTCTTTGAAACCTAAAATTACGTGCAATTTTAGTGTAATTTCGTGGGTTCATAAAGTAAGTTTTCTTTTAAACTATTTTTAACCTGTGTTTGCTTATTCTCTTTTTGGCTTGAATTCTTGTTTTTCCTGTTTTATTCAAGAAAATTGACTACGTTTATCTGTATTAAAGTTTTATCCATGGAACTTGACAATGCAATGGACGAAGAAGAGTTAAATAAAAAGGGTACCTGGGTGCCGGTGACTCCAGCAAAACAAAGCTCCACCTCCATCAACAATGGAATTGATTCTCATCTGGGCTTAGCCAAAACTGCTCAATTTTCTCAAAATTTTCAAACCCCACATGCAATGGCCTCAGAGAAAGAGATTCGTGGGTCTGATCGTGGAATTGGGAACTTGAACAGTGTGTATTCTGGGAGCGACCATGATTTTGCTGGTTTACATGGAACATCTGCTAAAGCTACATCAGAGTGCAAAATTGGTGAAATATCAGGCAGTGAGTGTACGTTTGATTGCGTTTTTTTGTGTAATTTATATTGTTTTAGGATCAACAACATCACTCCAAATGTACCCAGTATATGGCGGATCAATGGTTAATTTTTTATTATCTTTTATTGTTAATTGCACATAATTATATTCTGTTTTAATTAAAAGAACTAGTGCACTACTACAAACACTGAAATTTGCCCAGGATACGTGTATCAAGGACCAATCTTCTGTACTTTTTTAAATTATAAATTTGTTATATTCTTGAAGCTAAAGCTTTTGTTCTGAAGTCCATGATTATTCTTCTGAAACGAACTTAAGGAAAATTATTAAATGGCAAGTAATTTTGATACAATTGTTTTGATTATGGTATCAGGTTATTGCTTCAACAAAGTATACTGGTTACACGCCAGCCGCTTTGTTAAAAAAAGCCATTCTACTAATGAACACTTCCTTTTAGACGGGGGGACAAAAGGTGTAGACTTGTTGCAAAACATCGTTCCAAGACTACGTTCATGCTACGACTTCAAGATTACTAAATGCTTCCTGCATTAACTTCCCTATCACAGGATGAGGGTTTACATGATATTCAAGGGGTGTTCATTTGAAGGATGCATTCATATGGGAGGATTTATATTTATATACGATTGTGTTTATGGCTAGAGAGAATCTGTATTCCTATGTGAATTTTGACATCATAAACTAGATTCCCTAACAGGAATTTTCGTAAATTAAGCTGATATTGATTTTTCCTCAAAATTCTGATTTTTCTATTTTTCCCCCTTTCTTTACCTGTTGTTAGTCCGTGGAGGTTCTGCTTAAACAAATAGTATTCAAATTTAGTTGTAATCATTTAAGACATCATGGTGATTTACATGAGAGTCGAGAGGTTTGTTCAATAGGCTGTAGTACCATAAATTCTGGCTTGACTGTATTCTTAACTGTTATGTATTGATATGTAATATTTATATGCATATTTAATTGTGTCTACGGCTGGACAGAATTTTTATTTCCAATGTTTGGTAAGAAATCCAAATAGGAAACTTTCATAAATTAAGCTGCTATTGGTTTGTTTAATCCCTTTCTTTACCTCTTGTTAGTCTGAGTAGTTTCTGCTTCAACAAATAGTATTCAAATTGAGACAGTAACAATGCACACCAGTGGCTGTAACAACTAAAACTGCAAGCACTATGTTAGTTTTATATACCCATGTCATTGAATTTTAAAGTTGTATAACTTTGGACGTGTTTTTTTTTTTTCCTAGTGCAGACAACAGGCCATATAAAGAAAAAATAAATGTTGGTGCACGTGGCGAGTCCCAAAATGAAAATGCACAAACCGCTTTTGGGATAGATTCTACTGTAACTTCAACTATACCAGAAAACCGAAGTTCTAAAAAAAGGGGCAATAGTGGCATAGATTTGGACGAGAAGCCAAGGAAGAGACAGAAAATGAAAAGACACAGGCCTAAAATATGGGACGAAAGTAAACCTAGAAAGACTCCCAAGTCTCGAATTGAGCCGTCAACTCCTAAACCTAAAACTCCAAGGCGTAGGATTCCTACATCAAGTACACATAAAACGTATGTGAGTAAAGATAGCTGCAAAGTTGATGCCTCAGTACACGCTGATGGACAAGCAGCCAATAGAAGTTCTGTATGCGGTGAGAAACCATGCAAAAGAGTACTACGCTTCAATTTGGAAAACCATGTAATAAATCAAAAGGATGTCAAGGAAGCTGCTATTTTCACAGATGAGCACAATCATTATGAAAGCAAGGATGATGAATTCCTGGGATTTTCTACGCAAAATTTCAATAAGCAAGCAATCTATCCAAATTCCAATTGTGCTAAAAAATCTTGCATCATCATAGCGAATGAGAAGTCAAAAATCCAGACTAGAGGTAATGGTATTAATTTTTTACAAGTTCAAAAGGTAGTTTAAATTTGAAGTAATTTTGTTACTAACATTACTTATATTGACTGGGCAGATTCTTTGGGGGCAATGAATAGACAAGCAGCTAATCTAAATACTGAATGTGGGAGCTCATGCAAGGAATCACTGAATTTTGCCTTTTCATGGCCCCTTGTGGATGGCAATGGTGAACCAAATATTGTCTATGCCTATCATCGGAGAAATAAAAGTTTGAGTACATTCTTGTGCAAGCTAGATTCCAACTTAAATTTGGAACCCCAAGATTTTGATAACTGCTTTGGACTCGGAAATATTGTCCATGAATATAATAAAAGCAGAGAGAAGAGGTTACACAAGTCTGCATACAGCAGGGAAACGAATGCCAATTTAGAAACTGAGAATCAGAATATGTGTGACGAGATGAAAATTGAACCCGAGGTAGAGTCATTGCAAGTTTATCGGAGAATACTCAAACCAAATGAATGTCTGAAGAACAGCAGAAAGTTAGGACCAAACTGTCCGAGAATATACAAGCAAACAAGAACGCAACGGCGAAAGGTAACTACATCCGGTGCTTTCTGGAATGCGAAGACAGCGGATCAATGTCAAAGGTCTAAGAAAGGCGTGACCTTGAGTTATGGTGCTTATAAAACAACGAAGAAAACAAGGAAGCAAAGTAATTCTCGACGATTGACACAAAAAGAAGCACCGGAAAGGGATAAATGCGCGAAAAGGTCTTCCGAATCTGCAATCAGCAAGTGTAATTTTCCAGAACAACTTGGGCACCAAGGCACGATCCTACAGAATGGAAAACAGAAGAGAAAAACAAAGAAAGTTCCAGAATCTTTTAAATGTGTGTTGAACTTCTGTCTAAATTGGGGACATAGAAGGAAAAGATCTAAGAGATTAAATCAAAGAAGAAAACTTGCATCCTCTGTTGTACCTTTCGTCATGGCTAGGCAGATCAAGGCTGTTGTACATCCAGAATTTCTCGGATACCTTCCTGTTGTGGCTATGTCTTACCATGACAATATTCGGCAATGTCCTTCACAATGCAAAAATGGCTTAATTCAAATTCCGGTGGGGTACCAAAAACAAGAGGACGTCATGCTCAAAAAGGTGCAATATCAAGAAAATGTGGCTCTCCACTTTGGAGGCAGGCATCAAGTACCAAAGTGTGTTTTGCCAATCAAATATGGTAAATGCCAAGAGACCCAACATTGCTCCTAGCTTAATCTTGTCTTATAAGGACTAAAATGATTTAAATTTGCTAATGTTCCAGACAATGCACGTATGCAAGCTGTACTTGAATCTGTTATTCACTGCCTTGAGTGTCTACAAATTAGTAACGAATGCAACCAACTTGTGGTTCAAGACAAAAAAATCCATGGAGAACTTATTCCTTACAAGAGGAAATGTGATCCTTTGAAGACACGCAAACCACCAGCAAAGGTTGATTTTGACAAACAGACACTAATAGCTTGGAAGCAACTGATGGAGAATGATGGAAGTGGAGCTACTGAAGAAGTGGAGAAAGATTCAGTGAAATGGTGGGAAGACGTTCGAAAAATGTATCGTGAACGAGTGAATTCATTAATTGCCCGCATGCATCTTATTCAAGGTATTATGAATTTTATGTTAAAATAAATTCATCATATAAAATTGATAATATTGTGTTAAATTAGGTGAAAAGGAAATGAACACTTGCAACTAATTTCATTTTTTTTTAATTGGTATGTGCGGAATTGAGTTGAGGGCCTTTAATTAAGATACGTTGAAGGAAAAACCAGATATTTAGATCCATATAAACAGAAAAATAAAACACTAATATGCCTAATAAATTTTCTAGCAGTAACTTAAGTGTTTGATCATATAGTGATTATTAAATAGTCACTAAAAGTGTCTCATTTTTGTTATATATGGAATGAAGAATGAAGAAAAAATTAAGATTTTGCAACCATTTATTACTGCCATAGTGCTGTTCATTGAGCTGGTTTAGACTCTTATGGTTCTTGTATGCTGAAGAAACCTGAGGCATCTTGGGCTGCTTTTTAGTAATTACATCAAGTAACCATACATGATGGTACAGTTATTTGCATCTAATATAGTTTCACTAACTACTAAGCTATGCAGGGGATAGACGTTTTTCACGATGGAAGGGGACAATAGTTGACTCGATAATTGGAGTTTTCCTAACTCAAAATGTAACCGACTGTTCATCGAGGTAAAGCTTAGTGTCTATGTTAATCTACATAAGAAAATTCATCCTTCCTTCTCCATAGGTTAATCTACTGAGAATGATGTTGGTATTGCTTTGCAGTAGTGCCTTTATGTCTCTTGTTGCAAGTTTTCCCCCTGTGCTTAAAGACACTAATTGCAAAGAGAATATTGTATGCGGACAAAAATCAATTGGAAGTATTATAAAAGAACCAGTAATAGCCGAAAATAAAGAGGAAGCATATGTCTATCCAACTGAGCAAGATATGGGTTATCAATATGCAGAAATTAGAGAGAGCCATATTTGCTCCACAAGAGAGACTGTGCTAGGTTCAATGGAAGATGAAGTCATTGTCAAAGATGCAGTTCAGGGTTTTCCAGATGCTTCTTGTGATCAAAATTTAACAAATATTTCTGCATCTTGCTCCACTGATAAATCTACTACTTACAGGAAGCATCTGAAATTGGAGGAAATAAATAATCTGAAACAATTTTATGGCCATCAGGAGGGAAAAATATCATGCCAAGAAAATTTTGAAGAGTTACAGGGCAAGAAAGATATGTTTAGCTCAGACACACCTAGTCTGAATGGTACCCATGCATTGCATTCGAGTGCATCCTTTCCCCAGTTTGATGATAATTTGAATTTTGTACATCACCTTGGATATTCTAGAGATGGAAGAATGAAAAAATTAAGTGATATAAACAATCTTGATCACAGAAATTATTTTGAAAGCGAGACTGTAATTCTGGTAGAGGATACACAGAGAATTCAAGACCCGATAATTGCTGAAATGTCATCATCAAGCAAATTAGATGAATATCACAATGGGAATAAAATGCTTTCCAGGTCAGAATCTACTTCAGGAAGAAAGAAAGGAAAAGTTGAGCCAGAAACCCCAGTTGACTGGGATGAGTTGAGGAAAACCTATTCTGATGGTAGATCGAGAGATACTACAGGACCCACTGATTCTGCTAACTGGGAGGCTGTTAGAGAGGCACCAGTTAAAGAGGTTGCCAAAGTTATCGAGGCTCGGGGAATGAATAATATACTTGCTGGTCGAATAAAGGTATCACTATTAAATGATGAAAAAAGAAATTTTGATAATGACTATTATAATTGTTTTTGGAATCATTATCTTTTACACTATCATTTTTAAAACCGTTGTTCACTTATGTTTTACAGGATTTCCTCGATCGCATAGTAAAAGATCATGGAAGTATTGACCTAGAATGGCTAAGAAATGTTCCACCTGAGAAAGCAAGGTGAGTTGATAAATGGATTAATTAATGATCGTAAAATAGATTCTCGATTAGCTTGATAACAAATGGAAGCTGGAAGAGGAAAGAAGGTTGTAAGAATCAATACAATGTTCTCAACTGTACTGACTTCACTTTCGATTATCCATAATTTGCAGGGAGTACTTATTGAGCATACCAGGACTTGGCTTGAAGAGTGTAGAGTGTGTGCGGCTCTTGACACTTCATCACGTTGCTTTCCCAGTAAGATTTTGTTGTTGGGAGATGTTAATTTATTAGCTTAATAGAGTATGACTTTGTTCTTGACATTAACGACACCTTCTTCCACAAGGTTGACACCAATGTTGGTCGAATTGTGGTGCGTCTCGGGTGGGTCCCTCTGCAGCCATTACCTGAGGATGTTCAAATACATCTTCTAAACCAGTAAGTATCACATTACTAATAAATGCCTCTCTGAGATCAATGTACTAATGTAGTTCTCATGTAGGTACCCTATGGTTGATGCCATCCAAAAGTACTTGTGGCCACGCCTCTGTACTCTTGATCAGCAAACATTGTAATTCTGGGAACTCATCTTATTTGGATATGCATGTATTTAACAACTATTATTATGTTAATTACTTGCTCTTTTACTATTTTAATTGTTGCATTAATACAGGTATGAATTACATTATCAGCTAATTACTTTTGGAAAGGTCAGTCGTGAGGATTAAAAATATTACAGAATCACGCTTCCTTCAACATCTGCTTTCTCTTTGAAGATGACCATGATAGTGACAACAAGCTAAAATATTTCAGGTTTTCTGCACAAAGAAAAAGCCTAATTGTAATGCCTGTCCGATGAGAGGAGAGTGCAGGCACTTTGCAAGCGCATTTGCAAGGTTTGTGTCAGATTAGATGCTCAATTTGGATATCAATAATGACAATTTAATACAGAGAGGTGAAGGGACAATTTTACCAATAATGACAATTTAATACAGAGGGGTGAAGGGACAATTTTACCATCATGTCAAAGTTCAATAGATGTAATTTATTCATTTAGTTGTTCGGAACCCACAAAACCAATAGTTTGTTGGGGAAAATAAAGAAAAAGGAAGAGAAGCATCCAAGATAGGTATATTAAAGAGGTCTTTGAAGTTTGAAGTTTGAAGGTTGTCACTATCAAACAAACCTACCATATATATATGCACAATATTAACATTTGGGGGTAGCAACATACGCAAAACATTATTCCTGTAATATTATTTAATGTGATTGTTGCAGTGCTAGGCTTCGACTTCCGGGGCCAGAAGAGAAAAATTTAATAATATCAGAGGCTCCAGTTCCAGTTGGTCAAGACCCTGTGATGCAAAGGAGTCCAAAACTGCTGCCTGTTTCTGATGGTGATTTCTCAGAATTAAGGTATGAATATCACAATTGTGAACCGATCATCGAAGTTCCAGCATCCCCTGAGCCCAGTTCAAGTGAAACACTCGTAAGAGACATTGAAGACTTTGGCTATGAGTCAGAAGATGAAATTCCTACCATCAGACTTAATGCTGAATGGTTCAAAGAAAATGTACTGAATTTCTTAGAGAAAACAAGTTTCTTACACCCAGAGACTGATGTTTCGAAAGCACTGATAGCTATAAGTCCTGAAGCTGCTTCAATTCCAATGCCAAAAGTAAGAGAAGTTCACCGATTAAGGACAGTGCACCAAGTGTAAGTGGACATTACCTTCTTATAGATCTGCATAATCATTAAAACCTGCTGCTTCATTTTCTGGAAATAATAAGTTGTTTAGATCTTTTTCCATGTGTAACTTTAAATTACAGTTCACTGAATGGCATTTAACAAGCCACCTGATGATATTTTTTATAACCGCACTCCCCATCCCCAGGTTAAGTTTTTTTTTTTGCAAATTAGATTCCCATATTGTGACAAACGGTCCAAGAAGTTGTGCATTTAAGTGCTAATACGAGACCATGGACAGAATTTTCAATATATTCAACGCTGAACTGTTTCAATGTATAACTGCAGCTATGAGCTTCCAGATTCACACCCTATTTTGGCAGAGGTTAGTTTTAGTCTTTTGTTTTCATTTTTCCCTTTTCATTTATGCAAACCATAATGATAAAAATATCATTCTAAGTTTCTTTTCATTTGACAGTTTGAAAAACGAGAAGCTGATGATCCATGTCCATACCTTCTTAGAATATGGACGACAGGTAAACAAGCTAACAGAGGAATTCACAATGTCCGTTTTTTGCAATCTTTAATGTTCGCTATTTTCTCTATTTGTTTTTACTCAGATGAAATGGCGAGTTCTTCTCAACAATCAGGAAAAATGGGCGACGCCCTAGATGCAACACCATGCGAAAGAAGTGCATGCATTTCCGTAAATATGGATCAAGAACAAAATGACAAGACAGTCAAAGGAACAATTTTGGTGAGTAAAACTATCACACATTAAACATTCTAGTTGTTGTACTTGTGTTTTTGTTTGAACCAATGTTCTCAATCATCATAATGTGAACAATGTTGGAAGCAGATTCCATGCCGAACAGCTACTAGAGGAACCTTCCCTCTTAATGGAACATACTTTCAGGTTAATGAGGTGAGATTACAACTATTTCTTTCTTCATTTAGCCATAGAAATTGGCCAGGCTTCCTAAAGCTCTTGTATTTATGCAGGTATTTGCTGACCACCAAACCACTCGATGCCCTATTGCTGTTCCAAGAGAATCGATTTGGGAACTACCAAGGCGATCATTATATTGTGGCACAGGTGCAACATCAATTTTTAAAGGTGTGAAAAAACCCATATTATTATTTTGATATTTTTATCGGAAGATGATCTATAGCTTTGAATTTGCAACTGATATAAGAAATGTTTGATCTTGGAATCTAGGCATGTCAACTGAAAAAATCCAACATTGCTTCTGGAGAGGTAAGAGACCAAAAAAAGAAACTCCTTTATGATACTAATTTTCATAGTAATTCTGTTTTCGACACAACTATCTTGTAAGAAAACAAGATTAAATTTATCTCTGAATCATTCGTTTACTTCCTGCATTTACGCGTTTTCAATTGCTTACAGGTTTTGTTTGTGTTAGAGGAGTCGACAGGGTTACTAGGGATGCCAGACCACTTTCCGTCAAATTCCACCCTCACAACAGTAAGACTAAACATGCAGACGACGAGTAGTAAGCAAAAATGACGTCTTTCGGTAGGTAAAATAAAAAAAAATTGGTAATGGCTAGAAATAAAATTAGGAGTGGACTATCGTTTGAAAGATGAGAGTCCAAGAAGTACAGTTATTTGTTTTTTCTTTAATTTATCGTTTACAGGCACAGAATCATTATTATGAAAAACTATATATGCCCTTTTTTTATATCTATACATTACATGTGATAGTCTAATATGAATAAAACCAAACGTACAGGGTCGGTTTTCACAGGTAGTGTATAGGGCACTCACATGTGAGTGTGGGTTCTACGTCGGCCCCATATAATTAAAGTCTGTACAAAAATGCAGACCTCCTCCACTGTGAGCTGTAGAGCTTTTGTAAAAAAAAAAATTTGGCAATTTATTGCTGCCCTTTTCATTTTATGCTAACTGTTATAACGGGTCATATTAGTTCATTGGTTGGATAAAATTTTGGCATTTTTTATCAACTAAAGAATTAATATGACATGTTACTAATATTTAGCATAAGATGATACTCGTTGCTATATACACATAAATTATAAGACTATGCGCAAATTAATATCATACATGATATTTGTGAAATAATTTAATATGTTTTGATATAATATTTAAATAAGTTAATTTAATAAAAAAATATAATGGGTAAATAATTAATTTATATGATTAATGTTTTGGTATTGATGTTTTTAGACCGTGAGTGAGCGTGATGAGTCTTTTTGGGTGCATGTTTTTTTATTTTATAAATTTTGAATTTTTTCAAATTGTTGGGCTGTTGCTTGATATCACTAAGTCCCCATTTGGCCTCCATTTTCTGGAAATAAAAATTGGTGGAATAGTTTTTTTTTTTTTTTTTTAAATGAGTGTTAAGAAAGAAGGAAAATTTTTCGATTTACGAGTAATATTATTTTATGAAAGATTTTAGGGTAATTGGCACAAAACGTCCTTACCTTTCAAGTCTATTGTGGAAAACGTCCCTACCTTTCATTTTTTGGCATTTTTGCCCTCATTTCAACCTTTCTTTGCGCTGGACGTCCTTCCGTCCATATTCCGTCAGTTTTTCCGTTAATTAAAGGGTAATTGGCACAAAACGTCCCTACCTTTCAAGTCTATTGTGGAAAACGTCCCTACCTTTCATTTTTTGGCATTTTTGCCCTCATTTCAACCTTTCTTTGCGCTGGACGTCCTTCCGTCCATATTCCGTCAGTTTTTCCTTTAATTAAATACAAAAATACATTTTTCTTTCCATAAACAAGGGAAATAGAAGGACGTCCAGCGCAAAGAAAGGTTGAAATGAGGGCAAAAATGCCAAAAAATGAAAGGTAGGGACGTTTTCCACAATAGACTTGAAAGGTAGGGATGTTTTGTGCCAATTACCCTTTAATTAACGGAAAAACTGACGGAATATGGACGGAAGGACGTCCAGCGCAAAGAAAGGTTGAGATGAGGGCAAAAATGCCAAAAAATGAAAGGTAGGGACATTTTCCACAATAGACTTGAAAGGTAGGGACGTTTTGTGCCAATTACCCAAGATTTTATGGTTCAAAATAGGAAAGAAAAAAATAGAATGTAATGAAATGAAATTTAATAGGGGCTAAATATATTTCCAAACATGTTACAGTGTTAATCATACTGATAATAAATATGCATATAATAATATCAAAAGTCCATGATACTAATCTAAATTGGGAGAAGAGTTTACCGAAGTTCCCTTTCTTAAAGGAGAAAAATTACTTATTATAAAAGTCAATCATGTTATATGTACAATGATAGTTGACAATCATGATTTGGTATCATCACATTCATTCATTTCAAAAAATTTCAAAAGCTACTTTTTAAATCAACTGTCAAAATTTTGCCATATCAAATATTGTCAACATCATCTTACAAAGTAGATTAATTCTATAAAAGTAGGTCTTACTTAAATTTCAAACAAGCAACTTTTATTTTAGGCTAATTAACACAAAACGGTCCCACATTTCAATGTTTTTGTGCGAAATGTATTTCACGCTCACTTTCACTCTTCATTGCGGAAAATGTCATTCGAACCATCCATCGTCAAATGTTCCGTTAACTCAACAACAAGATTAGTTAGCACAAAACGTCATCATTTTTCAATGTTTCTGTGTAAAATATTCTTACCTTTTGTATTACAAAGGTATGGATATTTTACGCGAATTAGTTTTAAAGGTAGGGACTTTTTTGCAAAGTATATTAAAAGATAGGGTTGTTGCTCGTAAAATGTATTAATAGGTAGGGAAGATTATCACAAGTTCAATTTCATTCTAAAAAGGGGAAAAACAAAAGGTTCAGTTCATCTTCTCCATTCATAAGTGATGGCCAATGTGTTATTCATAGCATCACATTTGCCATTGTTCTTATTTTAACCTTGTTTACACCCTTAATAAGCACAAATGGGGATGGAAATCTCTAATTTATCGAAATATTCAATCTCTTCATCTATCATTTCAATTTTTATGAGTAATCCAATATTACAACGACCATTGTTCTCCCCAGTGTGAAATTGAGCATTCTTTAAGTCACTTCTTATTTATTTAATAGAATAATTGTATAAATTATTTTCATATTACTTTTAATTTTGAACAGTTAACATTGAAGTCAACGAAGAAGATCAATGAAAAAATAGGGTAAGACTATATCACCCTTGACTTTTGAAAAGAAAAATTGCATTATTTATTGAGTTAACGGAGTATTTGATGGTGGGTGAATGGAAGGCTTTTTCTATAATGAAAGATGAAATCAAGGGTGAAATTTTCAAAAAATAAAATGTAAAGACATTTTGCACAAAACATTGAAAGATGGAACATTTTGTGCTAATTAGTCTTTGTTGAGTTAACGGAACATTTGACGATGAGTAGATGGAATGACATTTTCTCTAATGTAAAGTGAAAGAAAGGGTGAGACGTTTTGAACAAAAACATTGAAAAGTAGAGATGTATTGTGCTAATTAACCTTTGTTTTAATTGTGAACAATGAAAAATTCATTTACGTTAAACTTTACTTATTTGCTCCGCTTCAGTATAATATAAAAGAGCCTTACTAAAGGCTATTGTAGTTGTTGTGATGTATCATCATGAGTGATCGTCAACATCCCTTTTATTTTATTTTTTATTTTTTATTTTTTTATGTCTTTATAAAATTTTGGTTTCGAATTTTGTGTCATCGACCCGATTCTCTTTTTTCGCCATTTTAAACAAAGAACCTTAATATTGTTCATTGCTTGTCTAAGTACACTCTAATATATAATATTTAAGTTTGGGGTTCGATTTTGTTTGTTTTGTTGGCATTTTTCTTCTTTTGTAGTTGAATTTCTTCCTTTGGCGTCCCAAAAAAAAAAAAAAAAAAAAAACCATCACCGTCGATATCGTCTCTTTGGTTGAATCTGATTTGTTATCTAGATATTTTAACCTCTTTTCCTCATTTCCTTACTCTCTTTTTTTTTTCTTCATTTAATTTTTATCTCATTCAATTTTCTTGCAATGTTTTAATGAAGCGACATTTTATTACTCCAATTTTTTTCTAATCAGTTGTACTCTTTTTTCCTTGATGCGATACTTTTATCCATTGAATTTTTGTCTAATTAGATTTATAACGGGTTAGTTATTGTTGAAATAATTATCAAATAAATTATTAAATAATTTTTAATGAATATTTAATCTTATCTGAGTAGATGTTTGTCCATAAATTGATTTATAACTATCTTTAAATCTTTGTGTGTGTCTATATATATAAAAGCTTATCGTTATAATAAATTACACCTTACTTTTGACTATTATATTCTTTGTTCTCTTAATTTCGTGACACTAGTATGCTTTTAGAAAAATGAAAATGACGTCCTTTACATGATAGCTTGATCCAACACTGCCATCTTGAATAGATCATTTAAGGCCCCGTTTGATGAACTTTAAAATCCAAAAATAAAGTTTTGAATAGTAAGTTTTTTAAGAATGTATGATTAAAAAGTAAGAAAGATTTTATATTTACATGCGTGATATTTTATTGTATGATTTTATAGTAGGAAATTAGTATTTAAAAAGAAAAAGAATTTAAATAATGATCATCAAACAGGGGTAAAAATAAAGGAAAATGCTACATGTATATAATTGTCTACATAATGGTATCCATAATTACACGTGGCACTGGATCTAACTTTTAATTCAAATCTCATACTTGCACATTAACAATCGGATGATTGTCACATCATATTATGAATACCATTATGTACAATAATTATGTACAAATATAATTTTTCAAAAATAAAAGGTGTTCTTTGGGTTTGTTTTTTAAGTAAATAAAATTTGCAATAGTGAATTTTTTTTAAAAAAAAATTGTGATTAAAAGGTAAGAAAAGTTTATGTTTACATATGAAATAATTTAATTTTGAAAATATATGATTAAAAATGATTTTGAGAAAAAAAAAATGTTTTTAAAGAATGAGATAAACAAGGGTTTTATTTTTATCATTCCTTTTTATTTATTGTTCCAAAATATATTACACTTGTCAATCTAAAAAAGGTATTTTTACATTGGATGACTCTGCAATTGTTGACAAGTTATTCAATATTTAGCCATTCATACGCCACGTACTACTTGTCTTTCTTCCCCCATTCCCAGTAGTCATATTGTGCTTCGATCAAAGTCTATGGCTGGTTCTTCTTGTCCATGTAAATCACTGGAGAACCCAAATCAGGTCAGCTTCAACTCCATGTATTGTGCAACCCGTAAAGGTTCCAAAGCCCAATTGTGTTTGCTAAGGATTTTGCACATAATTTCCACTGTGCGGCCACCTCAAATCACCATGGCAGAGCCACCACTTTTCAGTTCGGAAACCAAAGAATCGTCTGTAGAGAGCAATATGAGCAAAGAAAATAATGGTTCCGGATTTGATTTAAACGGCGACGTTTGCATTTTGCCAGAAGTGGAGGAATCTTCCGAGTCTTTATTAGCCAGCGGCGAACGGCTGAGCCCACGTAGCACAACCTTAGGATCCGGTGGTCTGACGCCCATTAGCGGTGCCGGGGGTGGTGATCAATGTGATCAACAAGGTGAAAAGACATATGAAAATGACTTTGATGAAGCCGAGAAAAAATTTGATTTACTCATTGAAGCTGCGAAATTGATATTGGGCGAGTTCAAAGACGACAAGACATCCGAGTCCGAAAGACAAA